CTTTTAATTGTGTATTTATCCATAGCGTTTCCAAAAAAAATTGAACTTGTTTTGGATATAAGATATGTGTCCTCGGTAGTATAGTGGTCAGTATCCCCGCCTGTCACGCGGGAGACCGGGGTTCGATTCCCCGCCGGGGAGAATAATACTTTTAATACTACTGTATAGCACCAGATATCTTGATCATACTTTTCAGAAAAAAATGGCACTTTTTGGATAAAGATATGTCCTCGGTAGTATAGTGGTCAGTATCCCCGCCTGTCACGCGGGAGACCGGGGTTTGATTCCCCGCCGGGGAGGATAATACTTTTAGTATTACTGTAGTATAGTACCAGATATCTTGATCATACTTTCCAGAAAAAAAATGGCACTTTTTGGATAAAGGTATGTCCTCGGTAGTATAGTGGTCAGTATCCCCGCCTGTCACGCGGGAGACCGGGGTTCGATTCCCCGCCGGGGAGGATAATACTTTTAGTATTACTGTAGTATAGTAGCAGGTAGCTTGATCATACTCTACAGAAAAAAAATGCGCTTTTTGGATAAATATATGTTCTCGGTAGTTTACTGTCACGCGGGCGACCGGGGTTCCTCGCCGGGGAGGATAACATTTTTTGTATTACTTTAGTACCAGATATTATGATCAAGATAGATGATCAACAAAAAAAAATATCCTCTTGCATAATTGTTGTTATGTAATATTGTTTGTTAAAAAGGAAACGACTGTAGTATAAGTATGACTTATTGTCTAAAACTACTTCTTCGGTAGTATTGTAGTTAGTTAATAACTGTTATAGTATAGTACTGTTATTTTCATAATTCACTCCACATAAAATTTGCGACTTTTCTTTTCTTGTTTACGAGAAACAATTAAGTATATTTTCTAGAAACTCTCCGCGTTTTATACCGTGCATAGTGATTAGGGTACAATGCCAAGCATCTGTGTACATTTTGCCCCTCGTCTTAGCGCTGTGCATTAAGGAGGAATAATAAAACTCCACTTCAAGGATTTTATACATACAAACTTATACAGCTTATTCTCGACTGAATACTTTTCCACGATAAAATTGTTTATAACAATTCTTAAAAAATGAGTTTTTAGATTTTATAAAAACAAAATTATATTCAACGTTAAGTTAAGACAAAAAAAAATGCATACATATGTTAAATTTTTAATTTCATTTTGGGTCATTCATGAGAATATTATTAATTGAAAATCAATAGATTCATCAACTTGGGCTATTAGTTAAACATTATGTTGTTTCTTGCAATGTGCAACATATGATTAATGATATAATCAGTGATTTTTAACTTTTTAATTGTTTTTATGTCCATCAAAATAGAAGTATAGTCAGATAAAATGATAAAATTCAACAAATTTTATAAGAAAACTTTATGTTTGTTAGTATTTATTTTATTTTCAAGATAAAATTTAAATGTTATAATTATAATACACATGTTTAAAAGCACGCAGTGCACATCCTATGCTACTGAGAAAGGCGTCATAAAAAAACGACAGCAGTTAAATAAATATATAAAGTTCGCATAAACATTGGGAAATTACCGCCTCTGAGAAAAATAAAATAAACAAACTGGCAGCATAACGTAAATGTACGAGGCGCATACCGAATCGATGATGATAACTCAGTAGATGCAGAAACGAATTCCTGTTTTTCAACTTTACCGCATTATTTTGTTTTCATTAGCTCCGCTAATATTATGCATTGTTCCCTGGTGAATTGCAACTCGGCGAGAAGAGGATGCAGCGAGAGATTGCATTCCCCCAAGACATAATTCGCTATTGTTCTATTAATATTTGTAGGAGCTCCAGTTTTTGGAGTGGAGGAGGCAGAATTCGGGTCGATAGGAAGAGAGGCGCCGAGGGCCGCCCCCCGGGGGACATCTTAACCCAATCCGCTAATGCCTGTTTAATCATAAACTTCGGCCGAGATGTGTCCAAAACTAAAGTGGCCGCAGCCGCATCCATATCCCATTACAGTAACGACATGAGCGAATGACAAGAGTGAAAGATATAAAATAAAAACAAGAGCAAAATAAACGTTAAACTGAAGACAGGAATGGTAAATCATTAATATTTCAAACAAACCAATAAACATGTCTTATATAGGTAATCATTATCTTCAACAAGTACTTGTAATATATGTGCGAACTTATACTTAAGTAATTTTACAAGTGTCACACAAAGTCCGTATAGTTACTTAACGTAAAATAGGTAACTATAAATAATTAGTACTCTAATTCAATTTACAGAGCAACCAATTAACGTTTTAAGTACATATAATTATGAACATAAACTGAAACGTGTCATATGTACAGTAAATCCTCGGTAGTCGACTGCTTCAAATACGGTACTCATCGAATTTAGAATATTTTGATACAAGTATACAATTTGTAAATGAAATGTAAATATTTTGAAGAAACTTTATGAATTTTCATTATTTATTAGTAATGAGTAACTCCAAACTGTGGAAAGTTCAAACTTGAACAACTGCTTGTGTTATATGTACTAACTTAAACTTGAATGTGCCTATTATATCTATAGTTATGTAAATATTAATTCGAAATATTTATTTAATTTACATAGATTAATAAAATTGTGAGACATTTGTAGTTGTTCATATTTAGTTGTTATCAAGTTACATAGTGGATTCGAGCTAGTGTAATTAAAATAATATAGTGTGATGTAATGTTATTTCCAATTTCAAATAGAGCAATTTCACGCGCACTAAAGGAGAATTCGGTTCTGCCAATATTCCGAAAATGTAGTACCGGACTAATCGAAAATTTAAATAAAATAGAAATAAACCGCACAAAAAAGAATTGGGTACGATTTTTTTAATTTATTTTATTTATCACTGAAATTTTAGTTCATTAAAACCGGACTATAGTGATTAAATCCGAACTATTGCTTTATTAGTAAAATTAGCTATTTTTCTTATTTTTTAGATTAATTTTATTTCTTATGGATAGAATTATTAATAGAAGAACATTGAGTAATTATTACGGGTTACGAGCTTTAAGTCTCTCATTTATTTAGTGTGAGTATTAGTCAACATATTTTAACTATAAATATTTAAGCGAAAATTTACTACAATACATTAACAATGCAGGAGCCGTAAAATAGGATAACACTGCAATTTCCTCGAACGTCTGTTCTAACGATTACCAAGGGGATTACGTAATGGATTACATAACTAGTAGTAGCTGCAAATAATGCCAACAAAATAATAAAAATATTCAGTTAGTATTGAAACATTTGTTATGATAATTAGTTCAGTTGGTTTAATTTAGGATACATGCAGAATTTCCAAATTAACCCTAACCTTAGTTTTTACCATTCATATACATAACATAAATGTGATATTCAACAACGTCATATTATATATGTAGTATTAAACATATTTTAACAATAAATAACACATGTATTTATGCGAACAATTTTATTACATTTACAACGCAAAAGAGGTGAAATAGTATAATATCGCAATTTTCTCGAACATCTGTTCTAACAATAACCTGGGGCTTTACATAAATAGTAGCTGTAAATAATGCCAATAAAATATTCAGTTCAAGTTAATCTTTTAATAATTCCAATTTCGGATAAAAAAAATGGAAACTAAACATGACTTAATCCAATCATCCATAACTTTACCAACATGAAAAATATAGAATTAATGAACTATTCAAAATTGATTGTATTAATTAGGTAATATTACATAAAATTTCAGTAACTTATTCAGCATATTTATTTCTCATATTTAAGTGTATAATTTGATATTCTTGATACTAGTTATTCCTTATAATAGTTGAATATCTTAAAAATAGAGTTTTCTATTTTACTTGTCATATTCCTTAAGTTACAATTATCAAACCATATCTTACTTATATAATTATGTTATTTTATAGAATAAGTACATTTCATGAAATATCAATGAAATATAATATTATTAAAGTGAAGTATAATTAGAATATATCACTCAAACATCAGGAGCATTACGTAATGGATTACATAAATAGTAGTAGAATGCAATGAAAACAAAAAATGCTCTAAGCGCTCTGAAACATTCGTTTGTTGATTTTGTTCTTTCAGTTGTTTTAATTTCAAATGCGCATAGGACATAGATTACGGATGGTCTGGATAGGTGTCTCATCCGTAGACGAGAATGCAATAACAGCAGGCACAACCTGAAACTGCGGATCGGAATGCTCAGGATTCCGTGCGCAAAAATATGTGCGAAAATAAAATGCGGCCCGGCCTTTTTGTTGTGATCGCCGTCTTCGCATCTAATAATAAATCCTAATCCTAAGCGGCGCTCTCCGTCTGGAGCGTTGTCTTAGGAATCCGCGCGTCTATTTCGGCGTCGCGGTGCGAGTGGGATCAAAATGTTCTTAGTTGCGCGTAAAAATAGTGCACGACGTCGAGGACGAGGACGGAAAATGGGCCGTACGTACTCTCTGACACTTGTGCGTGTCTCTACGGTGAGGTGAAGTGAAGATCTGAGCGGAGTCGGGCTGTGCAGTACCATCAAACCGATGCCGATCGGGAACATGTTCAACCCGGAAGACGTGCTCGGAGACATCATCAAGCTTAAGCTGAAGAAGCCCAAGAATTGGAACTGGGAACTGACAACCTCGAAGTCATCACCGCATCTCTTCCTACCTGTCATACAGTTGTACGATGCAAAAGGAAAGCTTCTGGTAGAAGCCAAGGATGACGGAAGTACGCAGAGGAATAGTTGGAATAATGGTTGTCCTACCCAGAAGAACAGTCGTAGTGGTCCGCAGCGTAATAGCTCTGAGAAGGATGTGCGAAGTGCGAGGCCTAAGAAGTGCAAGAGGACTAGAAGTGCGATGGTAGTGGAGGAGGCTTACATGTACGCCCCTGATGGGGTGAAGTATCAAACGCGTACCTCCACCGCCGGGACGCTCATTGTGCGTGAGGATGGGATGGTCTCGGGGAAGCGGCAGCGCCGACGCCACAGTTCCAATATCAAGGTCGATGGGAATGCCAACTACATTGTGCAAGAACCCGAAGTTCAAGGAAACGAGAGGCCCAGAAGGAAAACGCGACGGAAGAGGGTCGATGTTTCATCTAGCAGCAGCAGCAGTGGGTGCAGCATCCAAGGTTTGATTTTGTTTATATATAGATATTTATAAAAATACATGTTTATCTTTCCATGAAATTACTAGATAATGTAATGCAATTTGTTGATGATAGTAATCGAAATAACATTTATTAACATTACACATAGAAACAAAAGTATATAATAATTTGTCTAATCAACAGACAATATTAAATAAATAAATCAATCAATAATAATATACATTTTTATATGATAAAGATTTAAGACAGTAACACCAACTAAAATATGAGGTTAAGACAATAGTTGATTTCATATGATCTTAAAAAATAGTTTATTGTTTGAGATTAATATAAAATTTGAACAAGGTGAATTCCTTATTTCTTCCTTATTCCTTATTCTTTATTTACAATTACTAATTTTGAAAAATATCTTCAAGTCATCTTAAAAGTAATATTTTAAAGTAATTTAAAAGTAGTATTACATAATTTTTATAAACATTAATGTGGGATATTAAAATTAGAAACATAAATATTTGATAAATGACCATTTATAGTTGAAGTATCGATGATTATTCGTCAAATATGTTATGGAACCAAGTGTATGGAATGATTAATTTGATTGAATGGATATCATGATATAGAATAATTTATACATCATAAATTAGTCAATAAATATATATTTTTGTTGTTTATAGTAACAAATATTATATTTAGATACAATTTTTACAAGAAATATAATCAATTTATAATACAATGAATTGGTGTAATTAAATTTGTCCTTGGAGACGAGCATAACATGTTTTTATGCTCATAACATGTTATTTGTAAAATAACAGGTCTCAATTAATATGTAGTGTGCAAATATCAATGATTTCTGGTTTACTTACTACTTTTATTTTTTGAAGTAATTGAATTAATACATAAAAAAAGTTACATATTACATACTTACGAATTGTAATGTAACAAATTATTATTAGTCTAAATAAATAAATGATATAATTAGATTTCAATAAATAAATTGTCCAAGATACTTAAACAAATATAAATTACTTGAACTTTATAGGAATAGATCTAAATATGCTTAAAATATCACAACTTTATGTGCAACATATGTGCTTAGAGCATTAGTCAACAATTATCTGCTTCTGACGCAGAAGCTATGTACACTTATACAGTACATATCAGTATTGAAATCATAGAAACAACTATTGTTGATGACCGATCCGGCAAATAAATCAAACAAACGTGCAGTAACATATTACTGGTATCATTAATACAAAACGCAAACGCAATTATAGATCTCCTATTTCTTTTTAAATATTACACATATCTATAAAGAAATCATGTAAAATAACAAAATAATTAAAATTTGACATGTACTCTCATTTATTTACCTTTAATATAAATGTTCATATTATATATTCACTAAAAAATAAAATCGATTACATAATTAAATAATTTTAAGGATTGTCAACTGAATAATTATATTTATTATTATAATTGCCTTGCTTATATTGTTTTATTTCTTTAATATATAGTATTACATTTTAAACAATTTTATTGTCAAGTTTCTATGTAGTAACTCCCACATTTCAAATAGGAATTGAAACTAAATTGTACTAGCTACCACATAGTGATTTCGTAATGTGGGAGTTATTTCTGGTGTAATCTGTATTAGCAGTATTCTCAATCAGAGCAGTGGGTGACAAATAATTTGTGAAGTTATGTAAATAGTTGTAATTATGTAGATGCGAATATGCAAATAATTTGGAGAATTATTAATTTAGGTATTAGAGGTTCTAACTGAATATTCTATCAAATACAAAAAAAGAAAGATTAGAAACATTTGTACATAATAAATACTAAATACAAAAGAATAAATATCTCTAAATATTTAGTAATTACATCAAATATTCTGGAATATTTATTCATTATTTGTAAATTTGGGAAAATAATGAAGTAACAAAAAATATAATTAAATGTATTAGATTTATTAAATTTATTTATTTGATAAACGCCACTTCTGAAACTAACGTAATAAAACCTTTTATGTCTTTTAGTTTCAAAAGCTCATTAAAGTTATATATCATTTTGAACAAGAAATTTAGGATATTTTATCTCTTTCTCAAACGTACATTGTGTAGGTATAGAATTTTATTTATTCGATGAAATAATTGAAAAATGTGAAATTGTACAGCAATAATACCTCGCAATAGTTCCAATATCTTGGACTATTTTAAAAACTAGCCTAATCGTGCACTACAAAAAAAAAACATAAAAATAAACAGCAGAATAGGAGACTTGACTATAGAAAATATTAAAGTAATAGATTACTTTACAAAATATTTATTTATATAATTATGATTTATTTATATTTTTTCTATTTTCTCATTTGAAAAAAGTCTTTTTGCAATATAATTATGAATTTATGCATTTCTGTAAAACTTGCATTTTTGTAACTAACAGAAAGAAAATTTAATATTTTTATACAATAACTAAGTATTTTGTTATTACTTGAGTAATTTCCTAGAAATAGTCTAAATAAATAAGATCATTGTACGAATATTTGCACCCTTTTCTAGACCCTAGACCCTTAACCCTGCACACCTCGGGTGCGTATAGCACTATCGATTTTATACGTAGATATATACACACTATGTTGTCTAGAAGTAATTTACTGGCTTCAATTCACAATAGAATGTTTTCGGGAATTCATGGAATGGTTCGACGTATTCATCTTGTTTACTGTTACTACTAATATTTATAGTATTATAATTATAATATTACTTTGTATATTTGTGGTTCAAATAAAAACAAAACAAATAACAAAACTATTCTATAATTTAATTACCGATTTTTTATGAAATAACTAGTTATACTTATTGTATATATCAATATACTTTTATTTAGTATTCTCGAAATACTAAGACTGTTGTATTTTTCAATGAATTGAAATTTAAATATACACTAGTCAAATGTCACAAATTTACGATTCAAAATTTATCTATTATCTTGGTTATACAACATGAATGAAGTGTCAAATATACGAATGATGAGGTATATATGAAAATACATGTATTTGAAAAAAACATAGTTACTTTTATCCAATTACATTTATTTTCAGAGCACTTAAATTTAATGAATCATCTTCGCGAGTTATTCATGACGACATTCTATTTTTGTTTAATTGTAAAAATATCAACACTTTTATTTACTACCATTCAACAGTATAAAATCAATGACGTTTCTAATGAAATTTTAAAACATATTTGTACATTCAGAAATGCATTAATCAATGTGTATTAATTTTTTTTTTGTAATTATCATTAGTGTAAATTTGGCCTTTAACTCATGAACTCATAAGAAACAATCGTTAGGATTTCTCCAAATAAGGGTTTGAAACTAAAGAAACTCGTAGCCTTAATTACGCTGGAAGAGTTATCTAACTAAAGAGTATTAAACTATGCGCTTTGGAGAATATGCCTCAAAAATCACTTTGAATTTGATGTATTACAGACATTAATGCACATTAATTATAATGAATAATTAATAATTAAAATACAAATAGAGTTTACTCATATTTTGCACACAAAAAATGTGAAAAGTATAAAAAGTTATTAAAATTCAGAGAAATATGCGATTTCGATAATTACATTTATAACAAAAATAAATGGGCAATACAGGGTATGGTTTTTATGGGTAGCAGCCTAAAAGGGGTTCTAGAGATCAAAATAATAAACAAAATATGGTTAATTTAGGTTAATCCTTCAAATAGGATTAAACATTTGCGATTTTTCAAGGTCGCATTTTCAACAGTTTTTGAAACTGGTGTGTATTCTGTTATAGCGTAATTCGATAACACAAATGGCGTCTCTACAGAACGTTTTTTAACGTTTTCTCTGAAAAGGACTAGTGTCGCCTCGCTTAGAACTAAGATACGATGACCGCGCCACCACAGTGGTCTTGCATAAAATTTTGCAAAAGCGAAGCCTGCTGTATAAAGGATATGGCTGAAAATTTCGCCATATGACCGTAAATAGTTAACACTAATAAAGTCTGAAACAGGGTTGGAAATGAACGGTCCACCCCTGAGGAAATAGCATCAATTTGTAAGATTATTAATATTTGCTAATAAAGATGAAAAACATTGGTTATAATCAATATATGAATAATTATATGTGTTAAACAAACAAGAAATTGATGAAAATCTAAAAAAATATTGCAATTAATTTATTAATTCTTTATTGAAGATCAGAAATTAGAAACGTAGAAGTAGAGTTGAACATTAAATCAACTAATAGTGTCATATAGAAATTATGTTGACAACAAATTTTGTTTGCTTAAACTAAAAATTAAAATAAATTATTGTTAGTAAGTGGTACTATTATATAAGATATGGTATTGCACTTGCTGGTTGACTATTATGACCACATGACGAAGATAATAGGTAGAGTGCAAAAACGGCAAATTTTTAAACCTCAATAATATTAGTTTTATAGTAAATATTTTCATAATAAAAATGATATAGCTTAATATGTTAGTCATATATCTAACCTCAACCTTTTTGCTACGGATTTGTAGTTGTCCTACAAACCAATTGTTTATAATAAAGCTAGAATGTACTTATGACAGTAAAGAGTGTTTCACCAGTTCTTCGTTTTGACGTAAGGTGGCTGCTATTATTAACCAATTAAAATTTAACTATTAGGTTGAGAAACACTGATTAATTAGACTGAAATTGCACATACTGCCTTCTGCCCAATATACATTTATGTCTTCTATTTTGTGCAACTCATAGTATTAGACTTGAAAAAAAAAATACATTTTAAATAATAGGAATACTGGATAAGATAAGGTGGATGTTTTGCCTTAGTCATCAGTTCCTCACACTGACATTATTATTAGTCAGTATGTTGTCAGCTGTGAGGTGATTCCAACATTATGTTTACCATGGTTTCAGCGAATGCTTTAATTTATCTATAAATGAGATTTGAGAACTAAGCTATACTCTCCGACAAATCTCTTTCGTCACTATCATTATC